TCGCTTGTGAACAGGGCAACTAATTTTTGCGGTTGGCTGGAGGGGGGGCGCGAAGAAGGGAAGGAGGATCGGAATTAAAACGCGAAATAGCTCCATGGCACAGGTGCTTCGGGTTGGACCTAAAGGTTGCCACAGCTGCTTTACAACAACAACAACAACAACAACAACAACAACAACAACAACAACAACAACAACAACAACAACAACAACAACAACAACAACAACAACAACAAGGCTGAACAGAGACTCCCATGGCGTGTGCTTTGGTCCGAAGAGCCAAGATATGAAAAGGATGAAGAAGCAAAGAATATCAGAAAAAAAGTTTCCCCCCCCCTTACCTGGCTCCTTTTCCAAAAAAGAAATCGCCCCCTTCAGCACCTGGCGGGGAAGGAAGCCGCTCGTAGTCTCATTCCACAGAGTTTAAATGGACCGAGTAAGTTCGCGCCCCCCGCCCCCCCCGGTGTTCCTCCTGGCGAGGGTTAACTGCCCAACACGCAGCGGAAGGTTTCTTTTTGACTCTGACCACCGCTCCGACCGGAGCCTTCAAAAGGCGTGGTCTTAACAACTCCTCGCTTAAATTCGCGAGGAGGAAATTAAAAAAAAAAAGGAGGAGGAGGGAAGTTGACATTATTGATAATGGACTCTTTTTTTTTTTAACTCCTGGAGGGAGACAGAATTTTCCTGAGGGAAACGTGGCTGGGGATTTCTAAATTCTCCAGCATCCTCCTAGGATTATTGATCAATTAGGGGGAGGGAGATCTGGGTAAAAGGCGCATCCTTAGGATTTCATATCGTTTTTATGTGGGATCCTCTCCAAACCACCATCAAATCATATGCTCCTCCTGTGCCCACAGAATACACCACAGAAGAGATGAATTCTTCAGTGCATGGCTTTGCAGTGGGGCAAAAACCTGGAACCCAGGAATGGGTCATCTTGATTTCATACAATTTTTAGATGCACTCCTCTCTAAACTGGTCAGATCCTGAATCCCATCTGTGCCCACAGACTACACTGCGGAAATCATGTGTCCTTTGGAGCAGAGAACCATAGGATCCATCTACAGAAACCATGGATCCTTCAGTGCATGGCTTTGAAATACAGCAAACACATTGATCCAATGCATGGATCGTCATAGATCTGCATTATTTTTATGTAGGATCACCCCCAGACCGCTGCACAACCATAAATCCAGTCCATGCCCACAGACTATGCACAGAAATAAAAGATCCATCAGTGCATGGCTTTGCTCTGGACTAAAAACACTATGTGGCGCCTCATTAATCCACATGCTTTCTATGCAGGATCTGTATAAACCATAGCTCAATCATAGGTCCCATTTGTAACCACGAATTACATCACAGAAAGGATGGGTTCTTCAACACATGACTTTGCAGTTTTGGAAAAATATGAATTTCAGATAAGGATCTTCATTATTTCATATTATTAAGAACATATAAACAATCAGAAAAGCATAAAATAATTAAAACAAAATAAAACGACAATATCAGCAGAGCTACAAAAATGGCAGTATTGGGAACAGCATACATACTGTGCCGTATTTAACAGATACAGTACTTAGTTTTTGATTAAAACTTGTATCTGTTATATAATACCAGTCAATGTTTTTATAATTTTGATTGACTGTGCCTGATATTTTTGAAGAATAAAAATAGTAAAATAAGCATTTTCAATTAAATACCAAGTTGTGTAATTAACTCGAAGAGCTTGTAAAACTTTCCCAAACCTACACAGGCTGTCTCTTATCCCAAGAGGTCCAGTGGGGAATTGAACTCTCAACATCTGGCTCTGTAGCCAGAGACCTAAACCATGGATTGTTACAGAAGCTAACCGGATAGCTACAACAAAAATGGATTGCTTCATTCACAAGATCATCATGGCACAAAACCTTGCCCACAAGGCATGAATCCTCATAATGTATAGCTGTAGGATTTTCACTTGTGACCCACCAACATTGTTGCCGTGCAAGAGACGAGATTGCCAGACTCAGGATCTGTCAAAGAAAAAAACTTCTCATTCTTCTGGCAGGGAAATCCATCGAATGAGACCAGGGAACATGGTGTTGGCTTTGCGGTCAGAAATACTCTGCTGAGATCCATTGTTCCCCCAACTGCGGGGAGTGAAAGAATCCTGTCTCTGCAGCTCCACTCATCAGCGGGACCAGTCACCCTCATTAGTGCATATTCACCAACACTGTCATCCACAACAGAAGTCAAAGGCAAATTCTATGATGGTCTGGCAGCTACTATCAAAAAAGTCCCTGAAAGAGAGGCAGTGTTCATTCTCTGAGACTTTAACGCTAGAGTTGGTGCTGATCACAATTCTTGGCCCACTTTTTGAGATCATTTTGCAATTGGGAAGATGAAGGAAAATGGCCAATGCTTCCTGGAGTTTTGCTGTTATTATGGTGTTTGTGTCAGCAACACGTTATATAATACGAAGCTTCAACACAGAGTTTCCTGGAAACATCCAAGATCCAAGCATTGTCATCACCTCGATTTGATCCTCACTATCCTCACTAGACATTCTAACCTTCCTAGTATTATGATCACACACAGTTACCAGAGTGCTGATTATGATAATGATCACTCCCTGATGTGTAGTAGAATAAAACTGCGAACAAAGAGACTGTATCACACAAAAAAGGAGGGAAGACCACATATTGACATCAGCAAGACTTGCGATCAAAGAAAAGTGGAGGAATTTGCCCAAGCGCTTCAGGAAACCCTTCTAGGTCTGGCTGATGCTAATGCACCTGAACAATGGGAACATTTCAAGAATGCTGTTTATAACATTGCCATGTCCACATTAGGCAAGAAGACCAAAAAGACGGCCGATTGGTTCGAAGCCCATTCGGAGGAGTTGATGCCAGCCACCGAGGATAAGAGGAGAGCTCTAGCAGCATACAAAGCCTGTTCTGGTGAGTACAAATTGCAGGCTCTTCAGCTTGCTCGTAGCAAAGTCCAACAGGCTTCCAGGAGATGGAAGAAAGACAAGATGACACCATGTCCATCCCCTGCCCTGCCAGTCAATGAAAAAGACTGGTGGCAGTGGTGCCAGATTGGGGGGGGTACATGACTTGCATCACATGATT